TTGGGGTAATGTTCCCCGCCCAAGCGGCTACTAGTGGGCTCAAATCCAGCCCCCGGGTAAGCGTGGCACCCGCGTACGGGCCCCCCTCCCCAAAATTTTTTCCGCGCAAATTCATAACTCGGGGTTCTGAGGTGCTAGAAGGCTGAAATTTTAGGGGAATGTTCCCCGTCCAAACAGGTGCTAATGAGCTGAAATCCAGCCCCCGGGTAAGCGTGGTACCTGCGTACGGACCCCCCGAAATTTTTCCCGCGCAAATTCGTAACTCGGGGTTCCGAGGTGCTAGAAAGCTGAAATTTTAGGGTAATGTTCCCCGACCAAGCAGATGCTAATGAGCTGAAACCCAGCCCCCAGGTAAGCGTGGTACCTGCGTACGGACCCTTCAAAATTTTTCCCGCGCAAATTCATAACTCGGGGATCTAAGAAGCTAGAAAGCTGAAACTTTAAGGGAATATTCCCCGTCCAAGTAAGTCTTAACGAGCTGAAATCCAGACATCGGGCATACGTCATACCCGCGTGCGGCCCGTGAAAATTTTTTCCAGTAAGCTGCTAACTCAGGAGCCAGGAGAACTAGAAAGGTGAAATTTTATGCGGGTGTTTCCTACCAGTTCTGGCAACCAATCTTAATTAGTTTAGCTTGAAGCATTGCCGAAAAAACCGATTCCGATAATGACAAAAATTGCGGGTAACTCTGCAAAAAACGCATCTTCGCACGGGCAGCCCGTGCGTTGGCCAATTTTTAACAATTAACCAGCGCACTGACTGCCGATGCCATGATGTGTTTTTTACACAGTTCCCCGCTAGCGGCACCTTTTTTCCAGCAGATACTCATAGCTAAAAGGATTGAGACTGGCCACTATCACTGTCACAGAAAATCCCCTTAAAATTTTAGCCTTCTAGCTTTTCTGGTCCCCGAGCTAGCAATTTACCTTCCAAATTTTCGCGCGCCCGTACTTGGGAACCATAGATACCTGGGGGGCTGAATTTGAAGTCGTTGCGTTCTGCACGGACAGAAAACATTCCCTTGAAATTTCAGCTTTCTAGGTTCTCTGGTTCCCGAGTTAGCAGCTTACTCAGCGAAACTTTCACGTGCCCAGACGTGAGTGCCACACGGAATTGAGCGGTCATTTTGAAGATGGAGGCCCGTGCACAGGTGCAGACTAAGTCACCAAAGTTTCAGCCTCCCGAGATAAAAAATCGGTGTGGAGGAGAGGAGACCAGGCAGGGTGGGCGGAGCGCGTGGGAGGGGGGCGGGGGAGGAGGGGAGGGAATAATATGAAAGATAAAAAAAAGACAAAAATGTAAGCATTTGCATAATCCAGACACGTATACGGTACTGTCGCCAAGAGGTCCTCTACGGCAGTTCAAAGAACGAGCAAGCGAATACAGTATGCAGGTAAGCCAGTCAATTTTTCCAGTTCAAAGCCGACAGTGCAAAAGAAACACTCGGAAATCCTGGATGTAAGCTTTACTTTTGCGAGTGCTTACAGTTACTGATGATGAACTTGTGCAGCAGCAGTATCAGCAGTAGCAGCCGTAGCAGTGATAGCAGCTCTAGCTACAACAGTAGCGGTAGCGAAAATTCGCATAAAAATAAGATTTATTTTTTCGTTATCCGTGAGTAATTTTCGAGTATGAGTATTGCAGCTTCTGATGTTCACAGCCAACGACCGAGTCGACGCCCCGATCCATGACAAAAATGTAAGTGATCCGGTGTTTTGTGGTACTGCGATTTTCATTCCGTGCAACGTCCGTTTATCTTCGGAAGCAAGCTTCGCTGCCTGAGCTAGAATGCACTCTCGTCATATGCCCCTTACTTATCCGTTATACTAGCCTAGTGGGCTGGTCACATCCGAACTGAATGCCATGAAAAGTAAGTGCTGCTACACAGATATGCTATACTGCATTTCTGGCGTAGCTGTAGCTTCGTCCCTAATCGCTGCTTGTCGTTTTTAACTTCCTTCAAACTCATACCGTTCTTTGAAAGTTGATCAGCTATCCAATCGACTGTCAACCAGAAAATTTGTTATACGCAATTTTCGATAGTGGTTGTTGCAACAGAGGTCAGACAGCAACTCTATTCGGATCAGAAGTGGGAAGTATACACGTACTGGAAAGAGCACATGAATACGCTTTGTACCGATTTATATAGGAAGGGAGGGCGGAAGTGGGTGTACAATGAAGAGTGGAAAAAATAAAGAAACTGTTGCCGAGGACGTTAAAAAAACCAAGACTATGAGAGCTAATTCGCTTCAAGACAAATAATTCAGGCACAGCACGACAGCGGCCCAGTGTCGGAACATTCGGATGGAGTGGAACAGCAACAGACGGAGCAGTACGATGTAAAGGAAACAAATTCGGTACCGCTTTTAGTGGCGCTACAGTTTGTGAAATTTCCTTCTTTTCGTATAATTGCAGCTTCAAAGGTGATCCATATTTGAGCGTAGCGCAGTCCTAAAATGTACCAAAAAAACGGATCAAACTGAATTGAGGAGAGGGAGGTGGAGGGCGGAAAGAGGGGGGGAGGGGGGAGGGAGTTTCAGCTTGTTAAATATTTCACTATCTGCTGTTAAATAAACATTTACTC